CCCCTCTAGATAAATGTGTTTAATGAGTGAAGGAAAATATGAGTGAGCACCAAGCAACAACCCTAGGTTCTCCCCTGAGAACCAGAACAAACATTTTATGTGCAACCCTGATTATAGTGTAAAAGATTAATTCTTTTCATTATGTAACTTTTGATTTATAAAATAATAGCTTGTAGTTAAAAAGAAAGTATAAATAAAAAAAACATAAAGAACATTATTATTTTGTTTATTAAAGAAAATAAAATGTCTCTTTTGAGAAAGGTCTTTTTAAACCAGAGTCAAAGAAAAGTGGACATGTTTATTTCCCCTTTGGGGGCCCTTACACCCTCCTAAACAGCAGGTGTCACTGTGGAGAGAAAATACAGCAGCAGCTCAGGACAACAGGCTTCAAACAAGAATGTAACGTTTCTTTACTCCATGTTTTTACTTTGTAGTAAAAAGTCGTAAGCCGTCTCTGGGCGACCTGATTCTTCGACACACCAACAGTCCTACCCGGGCTCGACACGCTGCCCAGCTGGCTCTCGCTCACGTCCGGGACGGCGGCCAGTCGCTGCACAGCGCTCTGTTCCGAGGCGGCGGCGGGACCACCGGCCTGGAGAAGCAAGCGGAGGCGCTGCGAGTGAAGAATGCAGTCTACTCAACTGTGATCTTCTGTGAGTTCCTCAAAGAGCTGGCTGCCCTGGCTCAAGAGCACGCCGTCACTTTGCCCTTCCCTCAGAGCCAGGAGGCAGAGGAGTAGCGGGTAAACGCAGACCTCTCAGCTTTTAGCTTCCATTTATTATTTGTAAAATATTCAATCCTCTCTTTAGCTTAGAACAGACTGGAGCACTGAGACTTCTCTGTCACTCAAATCGTCGGCAGACGTTACAAAGAAAAGGAAACTCTGGCATTTTTCTACCAAATTTAAATTAAGACACACGTATAGTAAGAATTTTCCTCATCTGTAAACAGGAAATTGTGCATATCATGTTATTACAGTATATTTACATCCTGTCCATGCAAAACCTCAGTAAATAYTGGAGATGAGTGTATATACACATGTCATGGTAAAGCCACAGATAAAACAAGTWGGTGCACAAATTGGTGCTAGCTTGATACTTGCTTTCTTTTAATTTGAAAGGGTGGCACAAGCTAGACTTTAGCTTCCTGAACAAAATGAAAGCAAACACCAAATGCAGCTGGGCAGGAAAACGATAAAAGTACAGGAGAGTTGATCCGACGTGTGCACAGCGAGCTCATCTTGGCTCTCAGCAGAGCTTTTCATCCACCGGTCAGCAGAGAGAAGCTGAAAATGTCATCAGTCGGATTGATCAGAAGAGACTGCACTGCCAAAAACGTTGATCGATCAATGGATCAGGCGAAAACTGGAGCAGAGAGATGTTTCTGTTAGAGCGAGTGTTTGAAATAATACTGGAAATGTTTGGTAATTATTGCTTTTTGTTTGAAATGTTTGTCTTTTGATGTTGCACCATTTACTTGACATATCAGCAGCGTTTGGGAGTGGGTGTGCACATTCTTCTCCTTTTAATGAACTGTTTTTATTTTAATGAATCACTCCTTTCTGAAGAGTGAGGCCAGTTTTTAAGGCCATCGCTGAGCTGAAGAGCTGTCGCCATAAAGGAGGCGGGGATTGAAAAGGCAGCACTGTAAAAATGTTTTTCTTTACATGTGCCATTTAGTTCTTTTTACAGTACGCACTTTTGTTTTTTGATGAAATCTGTGCATAATTTCAGTTAACGTTGAACATCTCCTGAGGCATTCACTCTTTATTTCCCCCAAATTTTATGTTTTAAGTAATGAGCTAAAGATGAGAAGCCATCTCAAGTCACACACACACATATATATATGTACACGCTCAAAAAAATAAAGGGAACACTACTGCTCAAAAAAATAAAGGGAACACTTAAGTATGGCATGTCATTTAGGAAATTATTATTATATATATTGTCAGAACTGAACCTTGAATATATGGAATGAACTCTGAATTTATTGATTGAACCCTGAATATATTGAATGAAACTCTGAATATATGGAATGAAAGTCTGAATATATTGAATGAAACTCTGAATATATTGAATGAAAGTCTGAATATATTGAATGAACCCTGAATATATTGAATGATACGCTGAATATATTGAATGGAAGTCTGAATATATTGAATGAAACTCTGAATATATTGAATGAAAGTCTGAATATATTGAATGAACCCTGAATATATTGAATGAAAGTCTGAATGTTGAATGAAAGTCTGAATATGTGGAATGAACCCTGAATATATTGAATGAAAGTCTGAATATATTGAATGAAACTCTGAATATATTGAATGAAACTCTGAATATATTGAATGAAA